CAGGCTGGTCTCGAACTCACAGTGATCCGCCTGTCTCTGCCTCCCCAGTGCTTTAAGTTACTGATTTTAAAACAGGCTCTGAGAGGTGCAGATATGGTCAAAGCCTCTTGGTTAGGAAACAGAAGAACAGTGAGGTCTGCCTGTCTGTTAGTCTGAGACCCTTTTCCTTTAGAGACAAGAATTTTGTGTAGCCTGGGCTGACCTTGTGTAGTGTAGCTGAGGATTTCCCTGAAGCCCTGACATTCCTGGCTCAACCTTCCCAGTGCTGGGATTGGTTACAGGTGTACACCGTCACACTTGGCCAGAAACTTCTGTCACGTTCCTACTTACGTGTGAGGCAGGTTGGGGGGTCCTTGGGGCTCTCCAGAGAGTGGGGCCGCCAGCACAGAGCGAGACCCTGGGCAGGTTGGGAGGGCTGCATGGGTGGGCAGCCGGAGAGAGGTGCCGGGGTCAAAGCCTAAGGAGAAGCAGAATGCCTGGATAGGCTCAGGGGCCATGGCTGTCCTCCCTCTGCCCACTTGTGTCCCCCCCCCCTTCTGGTACCGTGGTGGCCTGGCGTTCAGTTATCTGTGGAGCGGCAGGAGGATAACCTTCTTACCAGGGAAGGGGTGGAGAGGGACAGCAGGCTCCTGGCACAGCAAGCGGCACACTACTGGAGGCGGCATCGAGAGACCCGGGGGCAGCCAGTGTCCAGGGCCCCAAGGCCCAGGAGGCACTGGAGTCCAGGGTAAAGGCAAGGCTTCCTGGGGGCGGCTGAGCAGCAGAGGCCCGTAGTTCTCCTGTGAGGGGAGAGGGCCCGGGGCAAAGGTACAAGCCTGCAGAAGCAAGCATGCTCCAGGGGGACGGCAGGACCCCAGACTGTGGGTGGCTCGTCCCAGCTTCCTTCACCCACTGGAGAACACATCACAAGTCTGGGTCAGGCTGGAGCCCAGGGCAGAGAACACGGGATAGCATGGGCAGGAGCTGGGTGAGGAGTCCTCCCTCAGGACTCAGGTGTCCTTACCTTCCCAGGGGGTGTCAGCACCAGTGGGACTGCTCCATGGGGGTTCTGAGGCTGGGGTGCTATGTTCTCCTTTCCAGCTGTGAGGAGATCCCAGGAGGAGATCAGCACACCCCTCCTCACCCCTACGCTACCCCAGCTTCAGCTACGTTCTCATCTCCCTCTGACATCTTTATTCTTCTTTTCCCCACATAGCCCAGGCTGGTTTTGAACCCCTGATCCTCCTGTCTCCAGTTCCACATGCTATCATGCCCAGGCCTGTTCTGGGGCTTTGCTTCTGTGACCCAGCCCTCCTTCTCCACACGGGGTCTGCTTTGGTAGCTGGGGTGGGCATCAGCTCACTCTCCTCCCCCCTTACCTCTCCAGGGCCGGGGCTGTAGACACGCTGCTCACCACACCCCACTCCTCGGTTTTCTTTTGAACTTACTGTGTGTTTGTGTGCCATGCTGTGCATGGGGCAATTCTGGGGACTCAGCTCTCTCCTCTGACCCCTACGCGGGCTCTGAGGATTGAGCTCAGGTCCCCAGGGTGGTGCAGCAAGTCCCTTTACCCTGAGTCACCTCACTGTCCTCTCCCCCATTTTCTGTCTTCAGCTGTCACTGCACCCTTCCCACATTTTGGAATGAGACTTTATTGATTCTCCCGTGCGTGAGTGTTTTGCCTGCATGGGTGTCTGTGCACGACACGTGTGACGTGCCTGCTGAGCCGGAAGGGGATAGGTTTTGGAAAAGGAGCTACACATACATGTTGGGAGCCGCCCAGCGAGACAGCGCCCCTGATGGCTGGAGAGAAAGGAAACACCTTGTCCAACCAAGGTCACACACTGATTTCGTTTCCGGACAGGGACTCTCTCTGTCCTTGCACTTACTACATCCAAAGCCCTGTCCCACGCCCCACCAGAAACACTCACAAGGGACCCCTGGTCGAATGGCCCCCTTCTTGACACGGAGGGGGAGCTTTCAGAGGGGCTGTCCCTTTCATGAGCCCCTGGGCCAGGTGCCTTTTCAGCTGTGCCTCCTGCTGCCTGCGCAAGGCCACTTGGGCAGCCATGACTCGCCGGCGTTCTCTACGAGAGGGGGGTCGCGAGTCAAAAGTCAGCCCTTTGGGGGGAGACCCTCCCCGCAGTCATACTCACAGAATGAGGACACATTTGTGGCACTCGCAAGCCTGAAAGAGGCAGAGGCGCTTGTGGCCCTTGAGATGGGCTGTGACGCCATGGTTGCGACAGCGGGCACAGGTTGGAGAGCGACTGACAGGTCTCCTGGGAATGAGCTCTGTGCTCTGGGGGACTATGGTCTCAATCCCTGGGGACGAGTCCGCGGAGCAGGGGTGGAGAGCAGGTGCTTCATTGGGGTCCATGGATCTAGAGGCAGGAGTGGCGGCTCAGGACAGTTACCTGGGCTCTGTCCTAAGCAGCCCTTCTGCTTTCGGGATGTCATATCTGTGCTCCTCCATCTCGCCCCCCTCAGGAGCCAGCTGTCACCCTGCCTGCCTTCTCCTCACCCCCCAGCCTTTCCCATAGACCCGCCTTTCTCAGAAACCACTCTTTCCTTCCTCAAGTATTCGTTCAGTACAAACATTCTTCTCTTTTGCTATGCCGAGGGCCGGCTTCAGGCATAGATGTGTTTGCCCCTCCCCCCAGCCCTCAAACGTGCTTACATTCTATTCTACCAAACCGGGTTTCCAAGCATCTTCTTCAATAACTGCCATCGTACCCCTTTGAGTTTACCAGGCCCTAAAAACATTTTTATGTGGGCCCTCGTTCTAAGCTCAGCCAAGTCAATCTGCTCTCTGTATGCCATTGTGGTTTTGGGGTGTGAGCTTTAGGAGTGTGTACGTGGATACGTGTATGCATGTGTGGAGCCTAGAGGCTGACGTTTTTTAGATAGTTTTTCCTCCATTGCTCTCCACTGCTTTTTTTTTTCCTGACAGGGTCATCTTGCTGAATCTGAAGTTCAAGGCTTTAGCTAGACTGGCTGGTCAATAGGCTCCCCACCACTAAGGGTGGGGACACAGACATGTCACTGCACCCAGATTTTAACGTGGGGACCTGAACTCAGGTACTCAGGCATGCGCCCAAGGCACTACTGACTGAGCCTTCTCCTTAACCCCCTGAATTTTAAAAAATTAATTAGTTAATTTATTGTTGGAGACAAGACCTCACTATGTGTGTACTCCTGGTTGGCCTGGAACACTCTATGTAGACCCATCTGCCTCCGCTTCCAGAGTGCTGGGGTTAATAGTGTCTGTCACCAAGGCCAGATTTTGTTTTTGTACTCTTCAGTAACAATATTATTCTCGAGAGATTTTCTTCCCCATTTTCACTAGAGGGGATTTGCTTTTTAAAAAATGGGCATGGAGGGCACATATCTTTAGTCCCAGCATTTGGGAGGCACAGGCAGATGAATCTCTTGAATTTGAGGCCAGCCTGGTCTACTGAGGGAGTTCCAGGACAGCCAGTGGGATACAGAGAAACCCTGTCTAGAAAAACAAAACAAACAAAAACAAAACAAAACGACATTGAACCTAGGGCCTTATAAACACATGCCAACCAACTATTCTCCACCTTGACTGCCCGTTTTGGAGAAAAGTCTTCCTAAGTGGTACAGGCTAGCCTTGAAGTTGATATTCTCCCTCCTCATCCCCCTGGGGTAACTGAGATTACAATACTGCCCATTTAGTGTTTTTCTTGAACTCCATTATTTTAACAAATATTTACTGATCCATGCATGCTGGCTCATATCTGTAATCCAAGCAGTTGGAAGTTTAAAGGCAAAGGGATTACTGTGCGTTCCAGGCCAGTCTGGGGAAATGGTGACTACCTTACAAACCCCAAAACTGAGTGAGTGTGCCTGTAATTCTAGGTTTTGGGGGATAAAGGCAAGGAGTTGAAGATCGCTCTGGGCTACACGAGACCCTTTCTTCTCCTCCCCCGCTTTGGTTTTTTGAGACAGGGTTTCTCTGTGTAGCTCTGTAGACTAGGCTGGCCTCCAACTCACAGACATCTGCCTGCCTCTGCCTCTCTAGTGCTGGGATTAAAGGTACGTGTGCTACCACTGTCGGGTGAAACCCTCTCTTAAAAAACAAAAATCAAAACTCAATCCCTTCCAAAATGGTTATTGAGTCCACGCCACTCGCGATGCGTCCTGACGTAGGCCAAAGGTGTTCTCCTGAGGACACCACTTTCTTCCTTGTGCCCAATGCATGGGTTTCTTGAAAAGCCAAGTAATCACTGCTGCACGCGGTGCTTATGTCCCTGTACCTCACGCCCAACAGTTAATGGCATGCACCGTCCCTTCCCATGCAACCACCAGGTGGGTGCCCCCCCCTTTCTGGCAGCCATCCGTCACCCCCAAACGCTGAACCTGTGGCCCCTCCCGCTCCAGGGTCCCGGGGAAGGGGCTGAGCACGAGGAGCGCGCTCAGAAGCGGGGGTGGGGTGGGGGCGGGGCGGGGCGGGGATGGGGGGCGGGTGGGTAGGGGACGTGCTGAGCAGCACGAGGGGGGCAGCAAGGGGAGGTCACGGTGGGGACCCAGCTCGGGAGAGGGGGGAGGGATCATGTCCATGGCGCCAGCCGGTGGTTACCACAGCCTTGAGCCGAATCACACTCAGCCGGGAGAAGGCCCCAGGAAAAGGGCGACAAAGTGGCGGCAGAGGAACGGCCGGCTCGAGCGGCTTTTCCCGCTCCTTCCCGCAGGGACCAATGAGCTGCGAGCAAGGCGCTCAGGGCTGTGGGGCGCAACCAATAGGGTGCGAGATCCTCCGCCGCTGGCCCGCCCCTTCCCTTCCTGCCCGCTTCTCCACGGCAACAATCCCAGCAGCCAATAGCGCGTCGAGTTGAGTCTCACACACACACACATCGCCTTCCTCCTTCTCTTGCCGGACTGTTCCTCACTCTGGAGACAGGTAGCCAATGGGGCGTCGAATCGCCGCCACCAGAGCGAGGCTGGCCCTGCCCTGCCCCCATCCCGGCCCCGCCCCCGCCCCGCAGGCTCAGCCACGGCCTGGGGCGTTGGCTCACGCCCACTGCGCGTGCGTGCGCAGCTTCACCCCCTGGGGCTGGCGCTTAGGCCGCTTGTGTTTTCCCCTCCCACATCTGGCGTTTAACGCGGGCTCTGGCCTGCCTTGTGTCACACACATCTGGGCCCCTGCACCCGTGTGTCTGTGGCGTTCCAGGCTGAAGGAGGCGGGGCTGCTATGCGGAGGACGAGGACTGAAGCCAGAAAGGTGCTGGGTGCCCAGCCTGGGGCGGGGGCGGGGGTCGTAGGGGGGAAGACAGAGGTTGGGATCGCTCGAAATGTGGGTCAGAGAAGCCGAGCGCTACATCGGGAGAGGGAGCAGGAAAGGAACAAACGCATAAGCGGTTGGCCTCCGCCTGGTGCTTTCGAAGCCATCTTATTACTACTCACAACGACCCTAGGGGATGGAGCACCACTAGGTTTTTTGTTTTTGTTTTTTTTTGCGAATGGAGAAGCAGGCAAAGAGTTCGGCAGCGTGCGCTAGGTCTCCCAGCTAAGGCGCAGAGTTGGGAGATTGCAACTTTGGGTTAGCTTGGAACTCCAAAGCCCGGGAACTTTGTGCCCCTCCTTCCCCTGCACGTTTGTTTGTTTTTTTAGCTTTTCTAGACTGGGTTTCTCTGTATTGCTTTGGAGGTTGTCCTGGAACTCACTCTGTAGACCAGGCTGGCCTTGAACTCACAGAGATCCGCCTGCCTCTGCCTCCCGAGTACTGGGATTAAAGATGTGAGCCACTAACGGCCCAGGTGCCCCGCATGGTTTTTAAGAATTTCCCATTCCTCACTTTCATTTCCCGACCTTCCCATAGACAGCCGTCCTAAGGTGGTTAGTGTGTTTCTGATTTTATGTGTGATTTCCAGAGATGTGTATTGTTTTGTGTACAGGCATGTTTTGCAGGTGTGGTAATGTCTTACTATTTAAAAAAAAAGTCCTCTGCTTTTAGGATCAATCCGTGTGCACGTGTACATCTGTAATTTTTTTTTTTGATTTCTTGTTCACTGTTGTTTTGCCTGCATGTATGTTATGTGTGATAGTGTCAGATGCTTTGGAACTGGAGTTACAGACAGTTGTGAGCTGTCATGTGAGGACTGGGAATTGAATATGGGTCCTCTGGAGGAGCAGGCAGTGCTCTTAACCGCTGAGCCATCTCTCCAGCTTTTTTTTTTTAAGACAGGGTCTCAGAACTGGCTCTGTAGATCAGGCTGTCCTGGAACTCAGATCTGGCTGCCTCTGCCTCCGAGCGATTGAAGGCATAGGCCACCACCACCAGGCTGCACGAGTATTTCTAATCAATTGTTTCTAACTGTGTGTGATATTCCCTGGTGTGCCTCCCTGCAAGTCGTGCACTCCGTTAGTCCGTTAGTTTCAGGAGGGGTGTTCCTTTTTTTTTTTTTTTTTTTAGTTTTTCGAGACAGGGTTTCTCTGTAGCTTTGGAGGCTGTCCTGGAACTCGCTCTGTAGACCAGGCTGGCCTCGAACTCGCAGCGATCCGCCTGCCTCTGCCTCCCGAGTGCTGGGATTAAAGGCGTGCGCCACCAACGCCCGGCTTTCTTTCTTTCTTTTTTTTTTGAGGGGTGTTCCTTTTGCCCAAACCCATCACCACAAAAATGACTCCTCCTCATATATTGGAGGTTGGACATTTTCATTGTTTAGCTAGAATACTCCAGAAGTGGGTGTTTATAAACCTAGTTTTATTGTTGTCAGACTTCTCCCGATTGGAATTCCCAGTTCCTCTTTTCCCAGGGGTCCCCTTTACCCTTCCCTCAATCACTCCATGAACAGCAGAGTGCAGAAGAGTCTTTGTCACCACACACATGCTAAACACTTGTCCTTTTCCAGATTTCCGATTGCTGTCAGCCTTTGAGGTGTATAATGAGGATACAATTTGCAAGATGACTGCATTTCCCAAGTTACAGTTAGATTTGAGTGCCTCCTCCAATGCCTGCTAGCCTTTGTGCCTTTGCTCTTATGAGGATAAATTCTTCCTAGGTTGAAATGGGCTAGGCTAGCCTTGAACTTGTTATGTAGGTGATCTTGAACTTGCGGTTCACTGGCCTCCTTTCCCCCCTTACAAGTGTTGGGGTTATAGTCATACGCCACCGTGGTATATTAATATGAAATTGACACTGGTGCTGTAACTAGACCATATTTAGTTTGTTGCAGATTTTATATGCACTCCTGTGTGTAATTGATATGCACTGTTATTGTTACTGTTCAGTTCTAAATACTGCTTTCAATCTTTATTTATTTTTACATTCCGATCCCAGTTCCCCTTCCCTCCTCTCCTTCTGCTCTCTCCTCTTCCCCCATCCCACCTCCCGTCAGCTCCTCAGAGAGGGTAAAGCCTCCCCTAGGATGCCAGTCTTTCCTGTCACTTCATTGAGGCTGGACCAAGGTCCCCACCCCTCCCCATGTCTAGGCTGAGCAAGGTGTCTCTGCAGAGAGAATGGGCTCCACAAAGTCAGTTTATGCATTAGAGTGAGATCTTGGTCCCACTGCCAGTGGCTTCAAATATTGCCCAAGGCACATCATTGTCACCTGTATTCAGGGGTCCTAGTTCAGTCCTAGGCCAGTTCCCCAGTTGGCAGCTCAGAGACAGTGATCTCTCTCTAGCTTGGGTCAGTTGATTCTGTGGGTTTCCCCATCATGGTCTTGACTCCTTTCTTTATATTATTGATTCTCACTCCGATTGTGCTTTAGGAGGTTGGCCCAATAATTAGTTACAGATCTCCACATCTGCTTCTATGTGTTTCTGGAAGAGGGATGTAGCGTCTCGGGTTGTGGACTGTAGGCTGGTTATACTTTGTGTTATGTCTGGTATTTACTTATGAGTGAGTACATACTATATTTGTCTTTCTGGGTCTGGGCTACCTCACAGTCCTAAGTACTTTTTAATTTCCTTAGTAAGCAAAAGGGATCTGAAAGTTAATTAACATTTACTCTCACAGGCCTTCTGTGTTTGAGACAGGGTCTCGTGTACTGGGTTTGTTTGCTTCTTTGGCCTGGCTGACCTTAAACTTATGTCAGCCTCCAGTGTGCTGGGGTTACAGGTGTGCAATTGTGATCCACCCTGCTTAGTTCACAAAGTTCTAACCTCAATTTGCTCTTTTGATGTCCTTGCATTTAGCTGGAGAACAGCCTGTACATGGGGGGGGTCTCTGGATCAGCACCGTGGCTAGAGGGAGGACCCAGGCAATATCATGAGAGATGTGCTTTAAAGAGCCCCACCTTTGCCCGGATGGTGGTGGCAGTGCAAGCCTTTAATTCCAACACTTGGGAGGTAGAGGTGGGTGGTTCGAGGTCAGCCTGGTCTACAGAGTTCCAGGACAGCCAGGACAGTTACATAGAGAAACCCTAGGTGGGGGGGGGGGGGGAGCAGACAATGCTGGGTGTGAATTATTTTGGATGGGAAACCACAGAAATGGGAAACCTGTGCCATTGAAGGTCTCAAGGGAGCCCATGCCACAGCAACTAACATGATCAATTTTCTTTAGAAACAGTGACCCATAGGCAAATGAACAGAGAATTCAGGGACTGACAAGAACCAAACTTGAGACTGCATCAGAATTTGGCTCCAGACTGATCTGTCACATCCAGGACCCTGACACAGGAGCATGGGACTCCAGGATTTGAGATATCTGCAGCTGCTGTGCCTCTTAGAGGCCGTCTCTTTATTGCCTAGTATGTCCTGTGGGGGCCGCATAGTGTAAGGGTCCCAACACGTGGGAGGCTGGCTGGACCTATGTGCTGCTGGGCTGAGGCCTCTCAGGGGACAGGCTCTCTGTGTGCTGATTTTAAGAAGGTGATGTGGAAAGCTGGGCATGACGCCTTTAGTCCCAGCGCTCGGGAGGCAGAGGCAGGCGGATCTCTGTGAGTTCGAGGCCAGCCTGCTCTACAGAGCGAGTTCCAGGACAGTCAGGGCTACACAGAGAAACCCTGTCTTGAAAAAAACCAAAAAAAACAAAAAAACAAAAAACCCAACAAAATAAAACAAAACCAAAAACCCCAAACAAAAGCTATTGCAACAAAAGGAAGGTGGTGTGGGAGGCAGATGACTGGAAGCGTGTTCTCTCTTTAGGGTCCGGAGCTCTTTTGTGCTACGAGGCCACAGCTTCAGCCTTCAGAGCTGTGACCTTGAATAACTGGAACTGGCTTCTGTTGAGGAGCATGGTGTGTAAGCTGAGAGAGGGCTGCGAGGAGACCATAGTGTACATTGAGTCAGGTGACACACCTCTTCTGCTCGCCCTCCTGCTCGCCGCCTCCTTAGCTATGCTTCCAGCAGCCAGGATTGGGATTGCGCGCGAACACGCACACGCACGCACGCCTGTATACAAACTGATAATGAAAGCATAGTGCTGATTATTTTAGGTAGCAGCATGAGCACATACACAAAGTAGAAAGGTGTGCTTGTGAGACCCTTCCCTTCCCTTGAGGGCACACAAAGTCAAAAGAAACACATCAGAGAGACTGCTTTTGGGGAGGTCAGGAGTGACAGGGTGGAGTAGGGATTACTGGCGAGGATGGGGTAGGTCTCAGTAGTGTAGGATGGAAGTGGACAGGTCCCTGGGGGAGAGGGATGAAGACATGAGAGCCAGGGCAGCAGAGGGCCCCCGTAAGGACTAGGGACACAGGTGACTGCCCCAGCAGGAGCAGTGAGTGGCCCTGGAAGAGACTAGAGGGGCTGGGAAGGGAGACAGCCTGCGGGGCGGGTGGCACTGACTCCCACTCTCTAATCCCCTGTTCCTCAGGGACCACTAGGGGCATTGTGAGTTTTAAAGGCTGCACCTCAGCCTTATCTTACCCCCCACAAATCTCCTACCTCGTGTCTCCGCCTGGAGTGTCTGTCGCCTCCTACAGCCACGTCTGCAGGACCTATCTCTGCAACAATATGACCAACTTGGAACCTTTTGTGAGACTCAAGGCCGATGAGCTTAAGCACACAGTCCCTTCAGCCAAATTCTGTCCAACCTGTGTGGGCCGGCACGACCAGGAGTGCCTTCCAAACTTCGTCACCACCCAGGCCTGCCCCTTTACTGCCTCTTCGTGTTACAGTTCCACCTTGAAATTCCAGGCAGGTGAGAGGACAGGAGCTTCTGTCAAGTGACTGCGTGCGTGCGTGCGTGCGCTGCATAACTACGCGTTTGTACACCCGAGAGACTGGTGGGATCCCAAGATGGGATTTGGGGTACAGGAGACTAGACACTCCAACTAAGAAGAATAAGGTTCTTGGTGCCCAAATATCTGGTGGGAGAGTAGGTGTCCTGACTGGTGAGGGCCTCTAGGAAGGGAGTAGGACCCTCGAGTCTTGGAAGTATCCCTGATTCTTCTCTTTCTTCCTTGTAGGGAATCTCAATTCTACCTTCCTCATAATGGGCTGTGTTCGTGAGTCACACAAGCTTTTAGCAGACTTTCAGCATATTGGGAGCATCAGAGTGACTGAGGTCGTGAACGTCTTAGACAAGTCTGAGGCTGTTGGTGCAGGGCACTGTAGTCAGGGTCCTCCTTGGATCATCCTCTTATGCACTCTGCTCATCTTCAGGGCCTGACCACCCGGAGACTGGAATGGAATAAAACCACAGAATTACCCTCCTGCTTTGTCCTGTGGTCTGTGAGAGTGTAGGAGGGAGGGGGGCACAGGAGCAGAGGAGTCTGAGAAAGCGGGGTTCCTACCCAGAACCTGAGGGGCTGAGAGCTGACAGTTGGGAAGGAGGAAGGTGTGATCATAGCTGCACCCTGAGGAACTCAGGTCTGGGAAGATGCTTCTGTAGGGAGGAAGGCAGGCAGGTGTGGACTCTCATCCAGGCCGCCCACCTCCTTCCTTCTATGGATGGGAAAATCACAGCTTTGACCAGCTACCCCCTCCCTCCCTCCCCTCCCTCCCCTCCCTCGTTCCCTTTCTCTTTTCATTTCCTCCCTTACCTCTTAGTGTCTCCTTCCATCCTCTTGATCCACTCCACCCCCATCCTCCTCTCCCCGGGAGCTGACATTTAATCCAGGGCTTGCACATGCAACTCAAAAGGTCTCCATTAAGCCCCTCCCAGGCCCCTCCCAGCTCCCCGTAGTTCTTTAGACAGACGTGTTTTCTTGTAGCAGAATTTCACAGCACTTTATGTACTCTGGGTTACTTGATACACAGAATTTAAAAAACCAAGGCAGAGGAGTCTGTCCTGGAACTCGCTCTGTAGACCAGGCTGGGTGTGAGCTCACAGAGATCAACCCGTCCATGCCTCCCAAGCGCTGGGATTAAAGGCGTGCGCCACCATGCCTGGATTTTTCTTACGTTTTTCAATCCTCAAACCAAACCATTTAGTGTTAGCAGTTTTGGCAGTTGTGAACCGTGTGAGGACAGGGTTAGGGCAGGGTGGGAGCCAGCAGACGGCGCCTGGCCAGGATGCTGTCACCCTGGGAATGTTGTGAGTTTATGGCCATCACTGGCAAGTAGAGCGTAAATAATACTGGTGGGCAGGCATGGGCAACAAGGACAGAGGAGACAGCCACTTCCGAGAGCCACTGGGGACATGAGTACACGGGGGGGGGTAGAGAGAGAACATGGAGGACAGGACACGCGGGACCACAGAGGCACACAGACACACATGCGGGGGAGGGGCAGGAGGTAACATAGGACATGCATGGTGACACACTGAGAAACGGCTGGAATTCCGTAGCATGGTTTGTGACACAGGGCTGACCATCGCAGTACTCACAGCGCAAGCAGGGCTCATGCCCAGCCTCATCCTTCCACCTTCTCCTTGAAACGGTAAAGCACACCATTTTGTTGCATGGACTCATGTTGGGCCCCCCAGTGAATGTGGTGACACTAGGGACTTCGCTGGGACCCTGTGTGGGAGCCTCTGGTCTCCCAGTTCTTTGTTTGGACCGCTGGGATGGACCTGAAGGCACTCAGTCAGGGACTTCTCGTAGATATGGGCACTGGCACCCCTGATATTCATGTCTTGGGGTCTAAATAATGTGGCATAGCAGGGCTTGTGGTAGAGGGTTCCCTCCTCATATTCAGTGTGGCCCCTAGCGCATCAGCGTCTTATTGCAGTGCTTACTCTAGAGACAGAACTTGTACTGGTCCTTGCCCAGGGAGCTTCCCTTCTTGTCAAAGGACACAGTCTTGACACACCTGGGACACTCGGAGGCCATGGTCAGTGGTCCCAGTCAGCCAGCCTCCTCTACCTGCACTGGGCTCTGAGCCCATGAACATTTACGTATGTGTGTGTGTGTGTGTGTGTGTGTGTGTGTGAGTGTGTTGTATACTTGGATGTGTATGGGTCTGTGTGCCTGCACACAGGGGCCTAAGAATCATGGGGAACACCCTGTCACTCTGGCTTAGTCCTTTGAGACAGTGTCTCACTAAACCTAGGCGTGGCGACCAAGCCGGCAAGCTCTTGGGACCAACTGTCTCCAATCGCCAATGCTAAGCAGGTGTACCGGACCCTGCCTGTGCTAGAGATGTGAGCATTGGCCCTCATGGTACCCACTGAGCCATCTCCCCATGGAGGTGGATTTTCATCTGGACTGTAGGTTCCCCAATGATGACACGGAGAGTTGCTATTAATTATGAAAGCTCGGTTAATAGCTTAGACTTGTTTCTAACTAGCTCATATCTTTTTTTTTTTAAATTTATTACATATATACACCAGATTGAATTGTAGATGGTTGTCAGCCACCATGTGGTTGCTGGGAATTGAACTCAAGACCTCTGGAAGTGCAGTCAGTGCTCTTAACCTCTGAGCCATCTCTCCAGCCCCCTAACTAGCTCATATCTATTAATGTTCTTTCTTTTACATGGTTGGTTACTGGTACTCTATACTGCCATGCTGCTCCCTCCACATCCCAGCATCCTCTGTACCTAGAAATCCTGCCTAGCTATTGGCCATTCAGCTTTTCTATTAAACAGAGTGACACTTCTTCATAATGTACAAAAAGATTATTAGGACTATTCCACAGCATCCCCATGTGAGCAGTTCCTTTGTTTTTTTTTTTTTTTTTAAGTGAGACAAGGTCTTACTATGTAAACCTGACTGGTCTAGTACTTGCTCTGTATCTCAGGCTGGCCTCAAACTCACAGAAGTTCTCTTGCAGCAGCCCCTGGAGCACCGAGGTTACAGTCACGTGCTGCCACACCTCTATTTTCTTTGAATGGTTCAACTTCCTGGGGGATTCAGGAGGCAGACCGCTGGGCTGAGGGGTGCTCCATGCTGGATGGCGACGGGTGTGGTTTCAGTGTTAAGCGCTGGGGAATCATGTTGATGAAAAGTCCCCACTGCTGTGGCTGACCCTGGGCACACTCAGGCTCCGTCTGTGCACCACCACTAGCGTGCGTGCGTGTGTGCGTGTGCATGCGTGCGTGCCTGTGTGCCTGTGTGCGTGCGTGCGTGCATGTGTGTGTGTGTGTGTGTGTGTGCGCGCGCGCAGGCCAAGTGTGCTTTCCTTAGTCCCACCTGCAGCAGTGTCTGGAGGACACTAGGAGGCCACACCAGCTGTGTGGTTGCTCCAGCTGTGGAGGTCCTAGCAGTCTCTGTAAAGAATCAAAGAGACCTCTGAGCCCCCTGTCGTCAGAAGAGCACCCAGCGCCTCCAGGTTCCTGGAACTCTTTACTACGTCCTGCTTGTGTTCAGGGACCCTGTTCTCAGCAACCCCCCCATCTCTGGCTGATTATACCACCCCCACCCAATGCTTTTCCCCAGAGCGCTGGGATGAAAGGCACATGCCACCACACCCGGCTCTCCACTGTTTCTTGGATCTCAAAGCTCATACCTGTGTGGTGTAGGTCTTGGGTCTCCCTTGGGCCTGTGAGATGAGAGCCTTCGTTATTCTATTTATTTATTTATATTTCGAGACAGGGTTTCTCTGTGTTGTTTTGGAGGCTGTCCTGGAACTCGCTCGGTAGACCAGGCTGCCCTCGAACTCACAGAGCTCCGCCCGCCTTCATTATTTTTACTTACCTCATAGACAGAACAGCCGCTGCTCTGAGGCCACTGACGGGCCTGTAACGTGTGGAGAGCAGATGTGAGGAGACAGCAGAGGAGGACCAACAAGGTTTAGACCTCACTTCCCCGTGTCTGCCTTCCCCACCTCCCCTTGGAGTGGCCCCTGTGTCTGGCGTCCTCTCAGTTGGATGCGGAGCCCTAGGTCAGGGAGAGGGTGCTGTACCGCCCTTTAAAGAACAGCCTAATGCTAGGGGCTAGGGGGTAGGGGGATAAACATCTCTTGGTATTTATTACAAGGAGGTGCGTCTGGTTGTGATGGGGTGACAATACCCTCATCTGAGCCTTTGTGAAGGGGGGAGGCTGCGCTGTCTGGGAGTCCATGGCCCAGAGGCTGAGCTCAGCAGGAGTTATGGAGGATGTGAGGCCTGGCATCCTTCAGGAACAAGGGCATCAGGAGAGACAGGGCATCTTCTAAAGGGAGACCTCCAGCAATTTCAGGCTCAAGTGAGCAGGTGAGGTTGAGGAGGTGGTCATGGCTTGCATCCTGTAGATGTGGGCTGACCTGGAACTTGGGGTACCATGCAGTGTTTATGAGATGGCCCTGTGAAGCTCTAGGGAAATACAGTAGCTTGGCTACTACAGTGGACTGTGTGGAAGAGATATGGAGTTAAGTGGACCTCACCTGGAGGGGACAAAAGGGATCTTGTCCTGAGGTCATGATGGATACTGGCCATGGGGGCAATTCATAAGGTGTAGGGAAAGTCACAGTTTAAAGGCAGAAGTGGGCGTGGGGTGACAGGTGCTAAGGGAGGGATTCTATATCCAAGGACAGGCATGGAGACCTTTCTCCATCAGTTCTCATGATGGGAAGAGATCCCAGGAGAGGGGAGGTAAGTAGAGACCTTAAGAATACACTTCTGAAACAGGGTGATGGTGGCACACACCCTTAATCCCAGCACGGTGGAGGCAGAGGCAGAGGCAGGCAGATCTCTGAGTTCGAGGCCAGCCTGGTCTACATACAGAGTGAGTTCCAGGATAGCCAGAGCTACACAGAGAAACCCTGTCCTGAAAAACCAAACAAAATAAAACAAAACACCTGTGCTGGACCAGAAGGGACACTTCTTAGCAAGTGCGGGGCCTGAGGGACATTGATCTAAGACCACGCAAAGGCCAGAGGACCCAGAAAAGAAACCATTAGGTTTGACGGAGTGGAAGGATCTAGACCCTGACCTCAGGCAGGATGTGCCAGTGTCTTGATGCCTCTCTCCTCCTGTCTTGGCAAGAGTCATAAAGGGACTGCAGGGCTCGCTGCCCAACTGGTACCTGGCACGCCCATCTCATACATCAGGAAGGTGCTGCAGCTGTGGGCGGTGTTAGGGACATTATCCTGTGGAGGCGCCAGCTAGGTGTGAGGGACATTATCCTGTGGAGGTGCCAGCTAGGCCTGTGCCTCCATTCTCCCTAGTGACGTCAGCCAGGACCTGCTCAGACCCTGCACTGCGTGGTGTCGTCCTCCCCCCCCCCCCGTGGGCAGATGGATTGAAGTCTACACTGCGGGGTGAGCACTCACCTGCTCTCAGATTTGCCATGTCACAGACCAGGACAGAAGCCAGCAGGGGGCCCTAGTTGTGCCTAAATTATCTGTCAGCA